GTGTGGCTGGCTGCATGAGACTTCAAGTCAAAGAAAGTCACGAGTCAAAGTGCCATTCTGCTGCCACGCGCGCGCATACGCGAGCAAAAGTGCCTGGCCTACCTTCACACTCGCGTACTCACACCCTAACATTTTGGTTGGGGCGCCCACCCGCGGGTCAAACAAGACGCGAAGCATGTACAAGTCATTGGTCCAATAAAAAAGGACAATTTGTCGTAGCAGCTATAGCTAGGTGCCTCTCACGCATCGCGATGGCAATTAATCGAGCGAGCGAGCGATCACACATGATGTTCGGAAATCTCTGACCTGTGCGTGTGCCTTGAAACAGATGAAGCTTCTTGACGATTCATCATGCTGCCGTCGCATATATATGCAAAGATGTGTCCCCAGCCAGGCAGGCCCCTTGGCTCTTCAGTCACGAGTGCTCGATGCATGGGCCATGGATGAGCCTCCGGACAACTTGATTATCGGACTTGAACTAAGCCAACAAAAAGAAGGGCCGAGCTGCGCGTGTGCAAGGTCAGATGCTGAACGACTCACCGCGGTTGCAAACAATCTCACAATTAACACGACGACGCGCGGGCCAACTGTGGCTGCTTCTCGACTCGAGGACCAATGGCTGGCGGTGCATGCCGCACGCGCCGAAAATTGGCCGAGGGTGATCTCAGAATCGTGAAGAGAGTCGGTGACGAGTGCCGCGTTCATGATGATGCAAGCCAAGCAGGCTAGAAATGGGTCACGAGTGTGGTTCACGTAGCCAAGCAATGAATGACGTACAGCCAATTTTGGAATGTCAAGGATTCGAGGGTGGGCATCCACTACGCGCTCAATTGGACTTCGTTGCACGACAGTCGTGGGCAAACGCCAAGGGATTTCAGACTATGGAACACGTTCGCAATAGGCGTGCAATATGGTCAGGAGTAGAGCTTCTGTAGGGCAATCGTTGACGTTCGGAACTGAACCTTTCCTTTTCATTCAATTCTCGCCCATGCACGCGTATGGCAGATTGAGAGGTCTACAACTCGCAACAGTGTGTCGTATCGCCACAAGTCGCATTGATGAGAACAGCTGCATGAGCGCCCTTCAGACAAGATTGCGCTACAGAGCAAATGTGAGGTACGGGATCTAGGGACGCCTGGTCGCCATCTACCACCTTGTTCCATAGGCATGCTGAAGCAGACCTCTCAGTCCTGTGTCACCTGAGGTTCCAAAATCAATGCGGGAGGATGCAGAAAGCGGGTCCACTCCATCGTCATCATCGGCCGGTATGGACCTAGTGTCCGTAAACGACTCATCAGTCTCTCTGGGACCCGGCCGCTGGAGGGTGCTTGCACGCTCTTGCTGACCAGCAGCCTCATTGCAAGGGTTTTCATCCACCACCTGAAGCGGTTGAAGCCCCGCAATTCCCCTACTCCGACTGGCAGACCTCGTCCCAGCCACGTTGACCCTCGTCTCTGGCAATCTCGTCCCGGAGGCCTGCGTGGTTGAGCCAGTCTGAGCCTTTCGGCTGCTGCGCGAAGTGCTAGCCTGCAAAGCCTTGCTATAAGCATTGTCGTAAAGTTGACTTCGCATGGCCAAATGCATCGTAGAGTTGGCCGGCGTGAAAGCTAGGAGATCTGCAGAAGCGCTCTCGTTAGCCGTGTCCATCCGAGGGGACTGAGCATTGGCTTGTGCAGCGATCGCCTGGCTCAAGAAGAGCGAAGCAGACGTGTCCGCAGGCGGGGCCCAATCTGGATTGGCCGCTGCAAAACCCAACAGACTCTGTTCCATCTCTGCCGCGAGTGAATGGGAAGCAATTATTGTTCAGCGATGCGTGCCTGCAAGTCTATGCACAGCCAGACCGACATGTGACACCTACTAGCTTGCGTGCTGAGCTTGGAGCGCGCCTTGCGAGCGTTGGGCACTTCTCCAAATCGCGTCTTGTCATTCTTCGCGAATACAGCAAACGAGCAAACGTAGCCAATGCCGTCTACATGAAGTGTAAACTGCAATAGCAGGCCGGCGAGGTCAGTCGATGCTTTCGGCGAGGTGTAGACGCGCTCACACGCACCTGGCGGAAGAAGTCGATAATTGCGGATGCACTGCTTGGTAGACTCTTCCAAAGCACAAATGGAGTGACAAGCACTGAAAGTAGTTCCTCCACAAATATATATATCTTGAGCTTGTAAAGCTGACCAAACTCGGCGTGTACCTATGAAATGGAGGCTGAGAAAATGCATAACCTTCTCAAAAGGAAGAGGCGAATCTGGCGAGCACTCACCTCAGAGGAATGGAAGCGGCTTTCCCAATTTTGTGGACAGTAGTGAGTGTGCTGCACGATGAATTGCATGAGTACCTCGGGCTCGAACACGAGTCGATCGTCCGGGATCATGCCTCTCGAAATTGCCAGGATTGCTCCAAAGACACCAATGTAGAAGAGTGTAGTTCGGCCAGGAGTGACGTCGAAATGGACGAAAAGATCTGGGTCGATGATCGAGGCCACTACAAGCACAGCCATGAAACTGCCCGCAACGAAGGATACGAACCTGAAGAAGGACGTGCGAGACGCGATTGAGCTTCAGTAGCCTTTCCTCGCCGACTCGATCGACCGTGCAGTATACGTGCCTTGCCAACTGTGCTGTCAGCTCCTTCGGAAATTGATTCACGTATCTGCTTGCAAAGGGATAGCTCGCATGACATCGTCTCGTGAAAAGATGCGGCAATTCGTTGAATTCTCTGAATTTCCAGCGAGCCAGCCGGGTATATTGACGACCACCAATTTGTGTCGGGTCTTGATGATACTCCTGCAAAGACAGATGGCAAGTGAGCTCACTGAAAGGCTCACAGCGATGGCAGGTGCGTCTCCACTCACTTCAAAGTAGCGGAAGAAAGAGTAGACGAGCAAGGCTAGCACGATGAATGGTGCGAAGATGGCATTCAAAATTGCCATGAAGATGAAACGACGCTTCAAGCTGGACGTTCGATCAAAGAGGTCAGGAAAGACGCACAAGGACACGCCACTTGCATCGAGTCGCAGGCGCTCACCCCTCAATGAGTTGAGGTCGAAAGCGCTCATCCAAGAACTGCTTCCGAACCTGTCCCTTGCGGTCAAAGACAAATCCAAGAAGACAAAAGCTCAAGTTCCACTCCATCGCGCGGGTCAAGCTAGGAGCCTGCTTCCGAAAGAAAGGCAAGGGAACTCGAAGATTTAGCAAGTCCTTATTGAAGAGGGCGATCAGGTAGTTGGATCTGCGCAAGATCCGATTGGCCACCGAATGCGCGTCCAGAGCTCCCCGTTGAGCAGTTGTGTTGGAGGCTGAAGATGCGATCGCCGTCGGGTGCGAATTGCGGAGCTCTCTCAGCCTCGTGACGACCGATGACCATGGAATGGATGCTAGATCCGCCTGTGAAAGCCAAAGCTTGCGGTCAGCCACGGGATGGAAAACTACAACAGCATGCCGGGGGACCATGCGCACCTCTGGCACTCCTAGAAGCTCTTCATAAAACGCGCTCAGCGCTCGTAACCTGCTCAGGCTGCTCCCAAACTGCACGAGCTGCCAAGCGTACAGCATCCCAGAGAGGATAAGAAGTAGCAAGGTCGCTCCGGATGAGCTGTCGCAAAGAGAAGAAGAGGCGTCTCTCGCGTCAGCCCACATCGTGTGGAGCATGACAAGGCACCGTGTATGCGCTCACTGTGCGACGCATGATGGCACAACGACTTCGCTGAGTTTGCCGTCGTGCTTGATGCTATGGTAGTCGACGCAGCGCGTCAAGAATATGCTGAAGCCAAGCACGAATGCGACAGTGCTGCATTGTTGGTGCAAAAGGTGCGAGAGTGACAGTCAGCCGAGTAAGCGCAAGTAACGATGATCGAATGAACAAGTCGGAGTCGCACAGCAAGTTGAGTATTCTCGAAAGAGCAATGGCGTAGATGCCCTTTCCAGTATAGTAGTCGTACACCTGCAAAAGGGACGAGTGCGACGAGTGCAAGCGTGTCAGAAGCCGCTGTGTGCGTCCAAGCGACGAGGGTTTCTGGGCGCACCTCGCACAAGAAAGCATCCAAATCGTCCACGTTCGCCCAAGCCCACAGCGCCCTCTCTTTTCGACTCATTCCTTGCAGAGCACCGGCTGGCCTGCCATCACGACGCATTGCACCGCTCATCCTGCTCGCTCTCACGTCCGCAGCAGTAATCTTAGCTGCTTGCTCCCTGATCCTCTCCAAGAACGTCTTGTCCCTCCTCGACCTCCTACGCGGCGCTCCATCCGATCTGGATCTGGATGCGACTGAAGGGGGCGCTTCAGGGTCCGACAGCAAAGCTGCATCTGCTGCGGCCTCGTCGCTGTCGCTCGACGACGGCGAGGCGGGAATGTGGGACCGAGCCTCGCGATTAGATCTTCTTGAAGTCGACGAGCTCGGTCTGGTGGGTCCTGCGTTTGGAAAGCGGTTGAGCCGCACGGATGAGCTTGGTGTCGCTTCTGAAGAGCTCGCATCGATGACATCGAGCGTACTGCTAGCCGGATGATCGCTGATGGCTATGCGCACCGCATCGCCGGGCAACGATGCGCCTGCTTGACTGCGAGGGGTTGCTGCTCCATCGAAGGTCGGCTCATGCTCTGCAGCTAATTGCTGTGCTCGTCCCTCTCGCGAGACAGAGTCCGTCTCGGAGGACGAAAGGGGATCCGCTTCGAATGGATCCATGAGTTAGCATATACAGAGGAAAGCAAAGATTAGACAAAGGAAATCGCTGCAGCGGTTGCGAGTGGCGATTCAAGGTCGCTGGCGAGAATGCGGTGCGGCGTTGCCAGACAAGATGTGGTGGTCCCATGCAAAGGACTGACGCCAGCAATCTCGAATATGAACCATCAGGTGGAGGGCAACCACTCTCCGCCGCGCGCTGCGCGAGAGGGACGGTTCAGTCACGTGACCCCATGCACGAATCCTCTACTTTTCATTCCGATCT